TTTTTTTTTTTTCCGAACAAATGCTCCAGTCTATTCGTGGGGAGCAGCACGTGCTGGGAACTGGGCCCAGCGTCCCATATCGAATTATACAGATCATTGAGAACATTTGAGGTCTTTTGAGGTCATTTGAGATACCGGGGCCATTACCCGGCTTCGGCTGAGAACAAACTGTGAAACAGAGTCCCCTACGAATGCTCACTACTCTCAGGTTCCCTGACAAACCCTTCTAAGACTTCCCAACGCCGTCTTACTCCTTGCTGAGTTCTTCCAGGCCTCACGCCCCCACCCTGCTGGGTTACAGGGCAACACAACTCACCCCAGCTCCGACCAGCATCATCCCAGCAGCAACCCCTGGTCGTCCCTTCGGATGCCCACCCCAAAGCATCCCCAGATCTCTCTCTACCAGGCCTCACGCTCCTGCATCAGCACATGTCAGAATTACATGTGCTGCCATGCACAGAAATTGTCAGCTACCACTCTGCATCAAATGCCAAAGGGTCCCAATTGGTTTCAAGTCCCCCCGATCCGTGTATTAAGTACACTATTTCCAGGACTCAGAACGAGTCAGACGCTTTGCAGGAATTGAAAATCGCCGCCAACGGCAATCACACCGGGATCATACAGTTTCTCCACTAAACAAGCATCTGTTAGCTCTGTTAGACAAAATCCATACTTAAGATATATTAGTCTATACTTTGTGTGTATCATCTATACTAGTCAAAGTCCATAGTACACTGTAAGGAGTCACATTGCACGTTCGACAATTTGAAAGCCCTCTACACTTCTGAGTCGACAATGGTCTATACACGTAGTCTCTACTCCACGACTACACATTGTCATAGTCGATACGTTTATACATTGTCTATAGCCACTAGTCTCGTTTCGCTTAATCTAAAACATTATCATTGTCTATAGCCAGTAGTCTTGTTTCGCCTAATCTAAAACATTATCAGCCTAAGTCTATAGACTCTATACACTGTCTATAGCCTATACACATAGTCTGTTAGTCGATGTCTGTACCATCTGTGCGGGTTCCAGTACGCCAAAGATAGTTTGTGCCTGGCAGCCTGAGACTGACTTCCAATCGAGGCATTTACTATTCTTCGCCGGTTAGTCAAAGTCTGTGCTATTTGTGGTCATTACACCTATAATCTCAATGCTATTTGTGTTCAAAGCCTATAGATTGTCTATAGTGCATACTGACTCTATATCCAATACTTAAAGTCTGTTTGTCAAAGCCTGCACAATCTATCCCAATATATTGTCTACACTAACTCTATTGTCTACGCTTAGTCAGCTAGTCAAAGTCTATACAATCTGTTCCAATCCAGTTAGTCCACACTGTCTACCGTCTATTGTCTATAGTCTATAGACTCTATACTTAAGTCTGTTTTAGTCGAAGTCTGTACAATCTGGGTCCCGATCCAGTTCGGAATCCGCCCTAACCATTATCCCACATTGTCTATTGTCTATAATCTTATACTTAAGTCTGTTTTAGTCAAAGTCTGTACAATCTGTCCCTGTCCAGTTACATCCCTAACCCAGTTTGTGCCGCACAGGCAGAGACCAATTTCCACTCGACTCTCGAGGCGATCAAAGCCTTGAGCATTAGTAGTTGAATTTGAAAGTTGATTCTTTTTTTTTTTTTTTTTTTTTTTTGTAACTTGAACCATTCCTCGATTCATGCATGCCATCCTTGCGCAAGGGCCATCATGATGATGGTAATCTTCAGACTCTGCACCGTTCCAATTTTAATGGTACATCCTATCGACATGATGGGAAGGACATCCTATCGACATTTTCATGGTATGCGATCACAATCGGAATTTGGACACCATACATAATGCGACCGACCGTCCATGCGATAGACAACCCAAGCGTCTAAGCAAAACTCGAAAACTGTCAAGGGTAACCTATCCTGTATAGCAGGTGTATAGCAGGTGGTGTCTTTTAGCAGGTGGATAGCAGGTTATCCTGTATAGCAGGTGGTGTGTTTTAGCACCAGCTTCACACAGCTATCAATCCAGATTCCCGATCAATCATGTCGGCTATATAGCTGCGATAAGCTGTCAATGATGCCTAAGCATCATCCTACTCCTGGACCTGTTCCTCACTGTTAGACTATCTATATAGCCCGGATCTAGCGCTGATCCTCGCCAACTTAGCTTTTCATGTAACTGTGCGAAGCACGTGCGGAAGACCGAGTTGGTCCAGTTCAATCCCTTTTTTCTTTTTTTTTTATTTTAAGAAAAGGTTGGCGGCAAGCTCACGGGCCCCAGGTAACTCAGTATTACTTGATTGAAGTTGATTCTGTTCATCTGGTTGCATCTGGATTCAAACTCGGGTCTGTATCGCCGGTGTCCACTTCAATCCTATCGCATCAACAGTTCATGGGTGTACCAACCAAGATAGGCACGTCGGTGTCCACTTCAATCCTATTGCACCGTTTTGCGCAGAATAGCACGTGTTGTATAGCTTAACACAGCTAAGGTGAATAGCCACACCCACAATAGCACCGCGTACCATCCTCATGATGTTGTATGTCTATTAGTTGTGGCCTTGTCGTCAGATAGAACAAGTGTGCGCCTCCAATGGTCCAGAGTCTGACTGCTGGACTCTGATGCTCTGCTGCATCATAGCCAACCTATAAGAGTCAGGACATAACGCAGTGCACAGTATACGCCCTCACTCTGCGAATGAGGGGAGGGGACAAAAAAAGATTACACCAATGAACCATTGCCAAATACGGGCCTCAGTTCAAATTCTGCTGGACCTCGATGAATGGAATGATAAATCATACTGAATAACCTAGGGCCGATCTGATCAACGGACATATCCCAAGGCCGTCACCCTTTTTTCCTTTCTTCTTTTTTGAAAAAAGAGAGAGGAGACCGTGACGTAAGTTCAGCCAGTCCGAAAGGACAAGTGCCTACCGTCTTCACCCGAATAGAACGCCCCGTCATTATAGCTGTATATGGACTCGAAATTGTACCAGATACGGCTATAATGACCGGGCGTTCTATTCAGCTGAAGACGGTAGTATCTTATGAAGACCCCGCATCTACTATGTCCAAGGCACAGATCCTCTATCATGGCTATCCTCCTGACCACATCCAAGACTAAAAAGAAAAAAGAAAAAAATAGTACCAGATCCACGGTACCACGGTACCATTCTGTGATCAGCGTGAGAACCAGCTATGGTGGTCCCCACTGGCACTCACTGTCATTGTCATCGTTCCGAGAAGAACAGTCTAAAGATCCTAAAGCCCTTTTCATCACCAACCTGACAACATCTCATGGTTGCGGTTTCGGATCAAATCTATCTTTGACTCTGTGGATGCGCAGCAGTCAAAAAAAGGTAATGCAGAACGAGTCACCATTCAGTTAGAAAACTGAGCTAAGCTGAGTTCGGTAATTCACATCAGAGAACATCTGACGGAAACGTCGGTTGTGGTTTCAGGTCAAACCTATATTTCGACGAGTATCTCGATGTACTTCAGTGAAAAAGATGAATGCAGATCAGTGTACCATGATCTTACATCTTACCTCAGCAAAAGCAAGGCTGAGCTAGCTGAGTTCGGTAATTCAGATCTGACAAAATCTGACGGTTGCGGTTTCATATCAGATCTATCTTTGACTTTCTGGGCGCACCGCAGTCAAAGATAATGTAATGCAGATGAGTTACCCGAGTTAGGCTAACACGTGAGTGAAAACATCGAACGGTTGTAGCTCCCAATCAGATCTAGCTTTGACTTTCGATCAGATCTCTCTTTGACTTTCGATCAGATCAATCTTTGACTTCGGATCAGATCTATCTTTTGACTTCAGATCAGATCTATCTTTGACTTCTAATCAGATCTATCTTTGACTTCTGATCAGATCTCTATCTTTGACTTCAGATCAAATCTATCTTTGACTTCCTGGAGGGAATGCAGTGCAGTCGAAGTCAACGAAGACAAGTTGAACTTCTGTGAGTTACCGCAGTCAGTGCAGTTACCGAAACTGCAGTTACTAGCTGAACCCAGGTAACCCAGGTAACCCAGGTAACTTAAATTACCTGACTCAGGAAACCAAGGGATGATAATCAGCTGAGTCAAGCTGTGCTTATATAGTCTGCACATGACAATCTTAAGGCCTTCACATTTGCTGCACAGTCGATGAGAGGGCAGAGCGGAAGTTCGCAGATTGATTTTTTTATTATTATTTTTTTTCTTGCGCAGGTGCCATGCTAATCTTCTTTCTCTGTGTATCGTTCCAATTTTAACGGATGTCCCGAAGGACGCAGATTATTTTTTTACTATTTTTCAGTAATTTTACTTTCAACGTGAGAAGGAAGTTCATTGCTCATAACTGTTCACCGCGAATCATCGGTTCCCTGACACGGAGATGGGGACGATAAGTCGGCCAGCGACAGGGCAAGGACGTGAATACCAGCAGCCATACTCTCCTTGGACGCAAACTCCTCTGGTCGATGACTGATTCCCCCCAGGCAAGGAATGAAAATCATTCCCGTTGGTACCGATTGGGCCATGAACAGTGCATCATGGCATGCGCGACTGACCATGTACTTGTGCTTCAATTTCAGAAACTGCGCCGCTTGAGCGACAGAGTGAACAACGGTGGGCGAGCAAGCTGTCGGGGGGTCTTCTGTGATGATCTGCATGTCATACTCAACCCTTCGGCGCTCTGCAATCTCGATAACTGAATGCCGAATCGCGTCCACAACTCCTCCGCGGCGAGCGGGGTCGGTGTCTCTGACGTCGATCTGGATGTGCGCTTCGCGCGAGATGCTGTTGATTGCATTCGGACTCAACTTGACAATGCCCGTGGTTCCCACAGTGTCCAGAGAACCTGTTGCTAGGACCGCTGCCTCGACCGCAAGGGCAAGCTCTGCTGCAGCCAACCCTGCATCGTGCCTATCGGGCATCAGCACAGAGCCCGCATGGCCACCGTCACCCCGGAAATCCACTTTGAGCCGTGTTGCCGCTGCAATGGCAGTGACTACGCCGATCGGCACCCCCTCCTGCTCCAACAGCGGTCCCTGTTCGATGTGCAGTTCCAAGAATGCGGAGTAAGTGTTCGGCGGCAGGACCACGTCATCCAGATACGGGAGCTTGACTTTGGTATAGCCAGCCCTTGCAGCGGCCTCCTTGAACGAGAGGCCCTCATTGTCCTTCGCTGTCATTAGTCGTGAACCGATTCCTGGATGGCCAGACATAGCCCAACTGCCCACGCACCCAATTCCAAACCGTGTTGGCTCTTCGGACGTAAACATGATGACTTCAATCGATCTCGTCGGAACAAAGCCAGCTCTTTTCAGTGCCGCAACTGCCTCGATCGCTCCCAGCACGCCGAGAACTCCATCGTACTTACCGGCAAACGGCACAGCATCTGTATGCGATCCCGTCGCAACTGGAGGTAGGGTTCGCTCCTTGCCCTCCCACCGACCAAACAGGTTGCCAATGGCATCCTCTCTCACCGTGAGGTTATGTGCTTCCATCAATGACCGTACGTATCTCCTCGCCAACAGATCGTTCGACGAGAACAAGACGCGTGTCACTGCTGGAGGAGCCGTATCCGAGATAGTTCCAAGGTGATCAAGTTGCTTTTGCAGAACATCAACATCAATTGTCAATGAAGGCCATTCACATATCTTTGCCCCACTCGAGGAGTAGGCGTAGGAGTAGGAGTAGGACGAGGAGGAGGAATAGGAGGAGGAGTGCTTGCACTGCGTTTCGTTCATCTCAACGCGACTGCCAGGAATGCCGGCTGCGATGAAAGTGACCGAAGCTTGACCAGAGAGCGCTAACCGGAATTGACCCATCACAACTGCAATCAGTGTCATCAGACACAGAGTCTGACTGTGCAGTGCTGCTGGACGCCACCGGTGGTCGGCTGTCACACCAGACAAGCGGCTACACTTCGCGCCTCCGTCGAAGTCATCGTGCACAACATATCTGCTGGCGCGTTGCATCCAATTGCCGCAGTCGACCTTCATCCTACATGTCCCGAATGCACTAGCTCTTACTAACATTATGGTCATCATCTTCTGTAGCCATGCAGTCACGCAAACGGTCTGGTCAGGGTGATCATCGTCACCTTTCCACGAGATCGCACAAGAATTCAAGGCTACCGACTGCCGACTGGCAGCCATAGCTTCTCCCTCGCCTTTGTCCTCCTCCTTATCCCCGTGCGAAATTCTGGTCCTCCTCCCCCACCAGTGTCTCCGTTCCTGCTTCCTTCCCTTCTTCCTCCTTCCCCTCTGCCTCCTTTGCTCAGCTCCTGCTGCTGCTGTTCGTTGCTGCACTTTCTTCTTCAGTTCTCCTCTTTTGGAGGAGATGGGCTCCTTCCGCTTCCGCCTTTCCTCCCTCTCCTTAAAAGTTATCGCCCATTTCGGAATCCTCCTTTCGGCAGCAGAGTCCCACAAACCTGGTGCAGACGAAGACAAAAAAAGAGCATTGCATGATTTCACAGTTTCAATTTCTCATTTACAGTGAGCTACATTAAAAAGAACAAAAAACAAAAACAAACAAGAATACAGACCAACAAACAGTTATTGTTGACGTCCAGTAATATATGCAGGCTTCCTCTCCCACAACACCTGCCGAGATGGACCATGTCATCTTGCCTCACGCGTAACATGGAATAGCACGGAAGTCACGGAAATGTTCGCTTTTTTTTTTTTTGGAAACTTGTGGCAAGTTGTGTGACATTGAAATCTGAAATGAAAAAACTGACATTGAAATTGGTCTTGACTACAGAGCTTCTAAATAGATCGGGCTGTGTCGCGTGCGTTAAGACTTTTTTAAAAAAAAGAAGAGATTATAAGATTTTCAGAAAGCGAAGGATCTGAAACAGGTACTTCCGGAGACATACAAAACAGGTCCACAAGTTCCACAACTGTTGACATCAACCCATTTTCTTAGGGGCCTAGATAATGACGTTATCATTTCTAAAATGCGATCATTGCCAAATTGTCACCTCTCAAATGGCATATATTTAAAAAAAAAAAAATTACTATATTATTAATTATTATATTATTTCCTTAAACACCAGTACCCCTCCCAGGCTGGACTCCCAGCTACCCATGAGACTGCGCCCATTGAGGGGTGCTGTAGAGGGATTAGCCTTCGGGACCCAATAATAGGGTGGCAGGGCCCACTAGGGCTTTGACCTGTGATGGGTCGGTACTATGAGGAAATTGAGTGGGGCGTGGAAATGGTCCATCGGATTGGAAAAAAGCGGCTCGGAGGTACCCGTGGCGGTTTAAAAAGACTCTATGGAACCACTTGTAGCACAATTGCACTCTGTACCTACATCATGGGTCAGTTCCTGTGGGAAGAGACAATGATTGTAGGGTCCACTCACCCACAAAGAAGAAACTTCACACCTACTGCACACACACACACACACACACACCAAAAAAAAAAAAAAAAAAAAAAAAAAAAAAAAAAAAAAAAACATTCTTTGTCTATACACATCCATCTGCTTTCTCCCTCTCTTTCTCTCCCTCTCTCCCTCCTTCTCTCCCTGAGACTCCCTCCCTCTCAGGGTCTCTCTCTCCCTCCCTCTCTCTCTCTCCCTCCCTCTCTCTCCCTCCCTGTCTCCCAAACACACACACACACACACACACACACACACAATGGTATTTATTGTTGTTATTATTATTATTATTATTATTACAAGTCCTTTTTCTTGTTCTCCAACTTCTCCTAAGACTTTTCTCTATGTTGTTGTCTATTTGCTATGTGGTTTCGGCTTTTCCTGTGTTTTATTGAAGTGCCGAAATTTAGTACCTTCAAGTTGTGCCAAATAGTTGCGGCCTGTTTGTACAGAGTGCCTGCAACACAATTTGCGGGGAAGCTGTGTTTCAGATTCTTCTGTGTGTGTGTGTCACAGTGTGTGTGTGTGTGTGTGTGTGTGTGTGTGTGTGTGTGTGTGTGTGTGTGTGTATGTATTTGTGTTTTGTGCTTGTGAAGGACATTCATGTGGTGGTTTCCTGCCAAATTCCTGGCTCTTGAAGGCGGCATGAACCTACAGTCTGCTGGGCTTTCCATATTTTGTGAGTAGGCAATAGTCCACAATCAACTTGTTCCTCCTGTGCTGACGAGTGTCTTGGTGTGTTGGTGTCCCCCCCACTTGCCTGCCGTTCAGTGCCTTGTTCCCTCGATGCTCATTGTGCTGCCCTGCTATTTTCCTTGCCTTGCCTTGCAGCTGATTTGTTCCTTAAGGCTTGCTCCTCGTGGTGCTGCCCTACTGGTTGCCTTGCCTCGCTGCCTCGCTTCCTTGATGCCTTCCATCATGATTATTATTATATGTTCTTCTTCTTCTTCTCCTAAGAGTTTTCTCCATGTTGTTGTCTACTTGCTATACGTCTTTGACTTTTTCCCATACTCCCTCCGAGTACCGAGGTTTAGCACCTTCAAGTTGTGCCAAATAGTCGATGCTTGTTTGTATAGAAAGCCTGGAACACTATAGGGGGGTGGCTGTGTTTCACATCCCTGGGTCTCTGTGTTCTCCGCTGGTGACCGGCATTCATCCTATGGCTTCCTGTCTCTCGTTGATGACGTGAACCTACTCTTACAATGAATTCTTAATGGTGGCTTCCTGGCCCCGGATGTTGTTCGCACCATCATGATAACGTTTATGGTTTCAACAACTGTTACATCCGGGGCCGCATGAAAGCGACACCGAAAGCACGTGAACGAAAAGTGAAAAGTCGGAAAGGCTATGGCAACGGAAGCAAGCAAAAAGAAAAACAGAAAAATTAATAAAAACACAAACGATAACACAGTTCGACAAACGATCAGCATGCTCAGATATTCACACCAATTAACACTCTCCATCAACCAGCGTGCTCTTTCCTTCAAGTTGGCCCCTTGCGATCAATGAACGGAGTGCCCTGCTCTGCTGCGCCCTCCGAACCATCTAGCAGTCCATGATTGACGGCCCTGGTCTAAATCTCCCCTTGAAATTGCGTGTGCAGCTTGCCATCCAGCGTCCCAGGGATGGCCACTTTTTTTTCACTCCCTGGTGCGCAGTGAATAATTCGATATGGAGCGCCTGACTGCACCCTGCAGCCTCCCAACCACCAATCGTCCACGATCGATGACCCTAGTGTAAATCTCCACTTGAATTATGCATACAACTTTCCACACACCATCCCCCACACAGCCAATGGCCGTTCAAGTTTAAAGCATCAGTACATCTTGTTGGGAATAATGATTAAAATTATCAGCACATCTTGAGAATCACGATTGATCACTTGTATGGATCAATCCCAAGGGAAGTCCTGTGTTGATTTGATAGATAGGATCCTTTAGAGACTATGAAAAAAAGTAGATAGAAGATATGGAAACAGTTTTAACAAGTACGTCAGCAATCAATAAGAAAATCCTCCCAGAGGAAAAGGCACCTAAAATGAAATATTTTAATCCAGCCTCTGTAGAGATCACTCCTAAAAGTTCGGGGGGCTCGGCACAGGGCCAGCCTGGGGGCGGCGGGGATTTACTTTTTTTGTTCAGTGCCGTGCCTGGTCCCAGCCCAAGGCATGGGACAAGTTCTTTTTTCCACCGGTCTGCAGGGCGGCCGGCGGCCCTGTCCCGAGCCTCCAAAATTATAGGAGTCACTAAGGACTCTAAGGAGTGATCAATCGTGATTCTCAATTTGGCTGGGCCCATGTATTACTGGTGGTTTAAGGAAAAGGATAGGTCCTCCTCCTATGGATTGTGACCTGCGAATGCACAGCCTCTAAACTTTAAGGTGAGTGGTTGTCAATGAGTACCACGGTACTACCACCCACTTCAGGTATGAGCCTAAACTGGTCATTAATGCTGTGTATTCAAGGCAATTTTCAAGCCACATACATAGAATTCTAATTCCCATACGGCTATGCGTTCTATCTAGAAATAGACCATAGGTAGGTACTAGGCAGGTACGTAGGTAGCGCAGGAGGCACCATCATCGAGAGGTGCAAAGAGGAACGGCAGAGTTGGAGAAGGTTATAAAATAATACTTATGACCCAATCAGGAGAGGAGGGAGGAAAGGAGGTAGGAGAGAAGGGAGGAGGAGCGAGAAGAGGAGGAGAGAGAAGAGGGGGTAGGAGAGGCGGCAGGAGAGAAGGGAGGAGGGAAGGCAGGAGAGAAGGGAGCAGAGAAGGCAGGACGGAAGGAAGGAGAGAAGGCGGGAGAGAAAGGTGGAGAGGAGGCACGATCAGGAATGAGCGAGACGTCAATAATATAATTATTGTGATAAAGTAGTTTTGAGAGAGCTATAGGCAGGTTCATCAAACAGCCATACTTGGAGGCTAGGAGCTTTGACTACTAACTTGGGATGTTTCCCAAACTGTTTGTAGTTTGTACACACACACACACAGCCTCCTATTGCGTCGGTGAAAGTCCGACGAAACAGTCTGGCACAATCGTGCTTCTCTTTGTGGATTGTGTATAGCGGATACAACGACACACACACACACACACAGAGAGAGAGAGAGAGAGAGAGAGAGAGAGAGAGAGAGAGAGAGAGAGAGAGAGAGNGAGAGAGAGAGAGAGAGAGAGAGAGAGAGAGAGAGAGAGAGAGAGAGAGAGAGGAGTCTAACGGAAAGATGTCATGGAAACGAAGGCAAGTACGGAGATGGTGATGACAGAGCTGTCAAACAGAACTCCACTCTTCGTTAGCCGAGCGGCGAGCTCTTTTTCCTTGTTCTTTGGGAGTTGGCCGAGCCCTGAAGCAGTGAAGCAGCGGTCCTCAGAAGCTCAACTTCGACGAAAACTTGAAAGAGTGTTCAGTCCAGGGGCGAGTCCCACTAGGGAAGCATATTGGATTGAACTCTTGAATCTGGACGTGTTTGAGGGCAGATGCAAAAAAACGGCGATTGCGCCACTTTTCTGCATCTCTGCGTAAAACACACGTCCAGATCCACGAGCTGAATCCAATCCGCTTCGCTAGTGGCACCTCGGCCCAGGTTTGACACGGCAAACTGTCGGTCACCTCAGGCGTCGACACATGTCCCGGGACCAGGGAGAGTTCCAGAGAAGCACCTCCTCTTCTTCGATCCTCAACCGTCCGTTCTGTTGCAAGCACCCAGCTCAGCCAGCTGAGCACGAATGTCAGCCTTACAAAATGGCTGTGGTAAATGACGAAAGCGGGAAAAAAAAGAAGAACCAAAACAAAGAATAAAAAAGAAAAGAAAGGAGGGACACTAATTTCAGAAAAGGAAAAGAAAAAGAAAAAGAAAAAGAGTGCCTCCAAGCTATGAATAAGAAGCATGCCCCATAAAGAAAAAGACCGTACTAGGCATTAGCACGTGATTACCTCTAGAGGATTCAGCTTGTAGATAGGTTTTATATTCAATTAATTTTTCCGTACCTCTATGAAGTAAACCAATAAGTGGTTCTGCACGTTTTTTTTGTTTTGTTTTTTTTCCCTT